GACTCACCACCACATGCAGTGTGACTGACACAGACTCACCACCGCATGCAGTGTGACTGACATGGACTCACCACCACATGCAGTGTGACTGACACGGACTCACCACCACATGCAGTGTGACTGACACGCGGACTCACCACCACATGCAGTAGAACTGACACACTGACTCACCACCGCATGTGCAGTGTGACTCACACGGACTCACCACCGCATGCAGTGTGACTGACAAGCTGACAGCAACCGCTGCACACTCTGACACACCGACTGCGACACCATACACAGTGTGACTGACAGGCAGACTCAGCACTGCATAAGCAGGGTGGGCTGGGCATGGCGCCAGCGCTGTGTAAACACACACCCCCCTTGCCCTCCCCAGCACCACGGCCCCGTCGCTGTGGGAGAAGGCCTCGTGGGACCAGACACTTGGACCGGCAGACTAGGGCCTTGAGCTGCATAGACCAGTGCGGCTCCTGTGCCGCTGGCCCCTCTGCCATCCTGCCTCTCCCCCCGCCCGCCCCCTGCAGCAGCTGCCTGGCAGTCCAGAGCCCCCTCACTCCCTGTGCTGGTCACACAGGGCCTGCCCTGGGGCAGGGCTGCCAGGAACTCTGTCACAGTCCTCCCCTCACCCTCTGCTCAGAACTCAACCCCCACACGTTACACAAGCCTCTGCTCCAGCCCTGCGCTGTTGCTGAGAGCACTGCTGAGCAGACTCAGGTGTGCAGGCCACACGTGCAGTTACGAGCCGCGAGCCTCGTTCTCAGAAGCAGGCGCAAGCTCTGGTTTTTTCTTGGGTGAAGGACGCTCAGCAGCCTTGGTAACTGAATCCCCAGCACCTGGAAGATGTGAGCTGAAAGAGATGCAAATGCATCTTGTGTCCTTAGGCAGGAGATTTAGCCAATATTGGCGTTAGACCTGCTGCAGGTGCCGGTCAGTGAGACCCTGTGAGGGGGTACGACAGAGCCCATGCTGGGGGGTGGGGCGGATGGGTTTATCTCTGCAGACTCCAAGAGCCGCTGCCCACCACCTCTGCCTCGGGTAAGACCCACTTCACTCGCCGCCACCTCAATGCGGGAGGGCTTCGGGTGCCCTGCAAGTGGCACACGCTGCGAAGCCAAGTGTAGGAAGGAAGGGGCGTAGCCTCTGAAGCGGAGTGCTCTCCCTTGGCCCCGTGGCTCATGCTTGCACACCCACACCAATGCCCCCCAGGCCCGCGGCCCGTGCTTGCGCACGGAGGGCCCTGGGACCGTGGCTTGTGGGAAGAGTTCAGCACCAAGGAGTGTCAAAGACCCCAGTGATTTTATTCTCTTTTATGTAAAGAAATTCTTGTCATGAAATGTGGTGTTTCTAAAACCTCTTACAGGATAGGCTTTCTAAAAGAAAATTGTTCCCATTTAACGTTCTGAAATCATGACAGCGCGATTGCACACATCCACCACCCAGCTTCCCCCCACACACCCCCACTCCTGTCTACCCACCCACCCACCAGCCACCTACCTGTCCACCTACTTACCCACCCTCCTACACTCACCCGCCCACCTCCCAACCATCCATTCACCTACCCCCTACCTGCCTCCCCACCTACTATCCAACTCATCTTCCACCCTGCCCATCCACTCAGCTGCCCACCCAGCATCAACACAAACCGAAATGTCAGCCGCTGGATCGTGATGAGAGAACAGCTCTGCTATTAGAAGTGGTTGGGACCTGAGACCCCAGGGCTCCTGGCTGGTGCCAGCTGCCCCTCCCTGGGGAGGGAGAGGAAGCCCAGGGAGACAGAGCAGCCATCCGTACACCACGCTGCTGCGCCCCAGCACTGAGGCTCCGCTGCCGTCAGAGCTCAGGGCCGAGTCGCAGGCAGAGGTGCACAGGCCTCCTGCCCTTCCATGAAGCACACAGTTGCTCCCCGCCCGGTCACGCAGCACCCGTTTCACCTCTCTGAATTTTTCTCTCTCTCTGAATTCTTTTTTTTTTTTTGTCGATTGTGGGGCTTGAACTCTGGGCCTGGGCGCTGTCCCTCAGCTCTTCAGCTCAAGGTGAGCACTCTACCATTCGAGCCACAGTGCCACTTCTGGTTTTCTAGTGGTTTATTGGACATAAGAGTCTCATGGACTTTCCTGCCGGGGGTTGGTTTGAACCATGATCCTCAGATCTCAGCCTCCTGAGTAGCTAGGATTAGGTGTGAGCCACCAGCACCTGGCAATTCTTTAAAGCAGTAGTGAACATGCCAGGGATCTGAGCACCGGGGAGGCAGGACAGCAAGTTCACAGCCAGGCCCGGGTGCAGAAACCGACCCCATCACGGGAAAATCAGATGCAAACCTGAAGTCCCACCCCCTCCTAGAGAGAGCCCATCACAGCAATGCTCACAGCAAAAGCCAGCCAATCAAATGTGCTGGACCCCACTGGAAGCCATGTGGTGAATGCAAGGTGGAGCAGGTGTGGTGGTGCAGGCCTGTAATCCCTGCACTCAAAAGTGTAGGGAGGAAGGCAGAGCTCCACACAGGTCTACAGAGCAAGGCTCTGTACCAAAAAGGACAGCAGGAGGCTTGTGAGCTGTGCACATAAACGAAGCACCATCTGCTTTTCTCTGAGAAATAAGATCAACAGCAAACATTTTTTTTTTTTTGGTTGGTCCTGGGGCTTGAACTCGGCCTGGGCGCTGTCCCTCAGCTCTTCGGCTTAAGGCAGATGCTCTACCACTTGAGCCATAGTGCCACTTCCAGTCTTCTGAGTGGTTTATTGGAGATAAGAGTCTCATAGTTTCTTGCACAGGCTGGCTTTGAACTGTGATCCTCAGATCTCCGCCTCTTAAGTAGCTAGGATTACAGGCACATTCTCAAACAAGAGGTTGATCAATTAAAACAGCTATCTCAGAACCTGTGTGTGTGTGTGTATTTCCATGTGTGTGCATGTCTGTGTGTGTGCATGTGTGAGTACTGGTATCAAAAATAGGGGTTGATGGGCTGGGAAGGTAGCTCAGTGCTAGAGCGCTTGCCTTGCACGCATGAGGCCCTGGGTTCGATTCCTCAGCATCACATAAGCAGGGAAAAAAAAGGCCGGAAGTGGCACTGTGGCTCAAATGGTAGAGCGCTAGCCTTGAGCTGAAGAGCTGAGGGACAGCGCCCAGGCCCACGACCAGACCCAAAAAAAAAAAAAATAGGGGCTGAGTACGTCTACCTCCGATTTCACCCCAGCCCCAGAACAAGGGGTGGAAAACAATGTATGGCTTCTCCCAATAACATGTAACTCCCAGCTGTGAAAGCAAGAACGTCACTGAAAATCCACTAACACGGGTAACATACCGGCCATGTCATACTCATTCCACAGGTAACATACTGGCCATGTCACACTCCACTAACATGGGTGAAATAAACAGCCACATGCATGCCGAATCCACAGAGACAGGGAACAAACCAGCCACGTTCATACCGAATCCACAGACTCGGGGATCAAACCAGCCGCATTCATACCGAATCTTCACAGAATGGCGAGGGCCACGTCAGCCAGCCGGGAGACACCGCTCAGATGTCAACGAACACAGCTCAGCGTTGTGCACATGGGATGCTTTATTAGAACAAGGACAAAGTACCCTCTGGGAGAACTCACCTCCCACCTGCCCAGTGCCAGTGCCGGCCACGGGCGCTGCCGGCAGACACTAAGGACTCACATCCTGTTACAGATGCACACGGCTTCAACACCAACCTTGGTGTTACAGATGCACACGGCTTCAACACGAAACTTGGTTGTTACAGATGCACACGGCTTCAACACAAACCTTGGTTGAATCAGGGAAAATCTGGGAAAATCAGTCTTACAGTCCATCTATAAATATTCTGGTCAGATAATCTCACATTGAAATGATTTACTTGTTAAGTCTACAACATAAAAGCAGAGGAACGAGTAACTTCTGATTGGCAGGCGTGGCGTGGCCTCCCTGCTGGGGGAGGGGGGTCTCCCGTGGCCTGGTGGGGCGTCACCAGCATGGCCACCACTACACTGTCTCTGCCAGAAACCTCACATACTGCTCCCGGGCAGCGAAGTGGTCAGCGGGCCGGTTGTAGGCCGTCCACACCGGTTCTCCCACGAACAGCCGCATGGCCTTCACGTAGTTCTAGAGGAGAACAGACACGGCCCACTCTCAGCACCACCCTTGGCTTCCTGTATGCTAACCACAGCGCCCCACACCTTGGGTCCTCCTCAGGGACACAGCAACACCCCACGCCTCACAGGGCCCCCCGCCTCCTCTCACCGTCTCGTCCAGCGTGAAGCGGTGGTAGATGCCGGCCGGAAGCGTGATCATGTCCCCCTTCTCCATGGCGATCCGGATCCACTTGTCCTCCTCGTCCCTGACGTCGAAGTACCCACTGCCCTCCAGGACGTAGCGGATCTCCTCATCCAGGTGCAGGTGCTCCTCGTAGAACATCTTCAGCTGCCACGGGAGGCGTGGGAGCACTCATTGAGCACGGCCCGCCACCTGCGAGCACAGCCCAACATCCCCAGGACCACAGCCCACCCCCAAAGACCACGACCTTCCACCACAACCACCACCACACCCATAGCCCAACGCCCCACAGCCAGCACTGCAGCCAGCGGGGACTTTGGGAGCAGAGCTGAGCCGGGCTCCGGTGGCCCCTGCTGGCGCCCCAGCCACTCAGGGGCTGAGACCTGTGGATCACTGCTGGAAGCCAGCCCGGGCAGGAAGGTCCCTGAAACCCTTCTCTCCAATCAACCACCAAAAAGACTGGAAGTGGAGCTGTGGCTCAAGTGGTAAAGTGACTGCCTGGCAAGCCTGAGGCCCCAAGTTCAATCCTCAGCTCCACCAAGGGGAGAGATGACTCAAGAGGGTGAGTTCAGCCCACCTCCATGTGGGAGAGGAGGCGCCAGCCACGCTTGGAGCGTGAGCAGGGAACCCATGAGGCAGAGTGGTCTTTGAAATCGTGAGGCCTCGGGCACAGGCACCCACGCGGGCTTCCAGCGTACGAGGACGAAGCCCGCTGAGCGCAACAGGACTCCCAGCCTGCGAAGCTGACACGGCAGCCTAGCTCTGGGGAGAACAGAAGGAGAGGAGAGCTAGGAGCCCCCCGAGAGACACAGACAGCCCAGCTCCGAGAGCACCCCGAGAGACACAGACAGCCCAGCTCCGAGAACACCAGAGAGACAGACAGCCCAGCTCCGAGAACACCCCCGAGAGACACAGACAGCCCAGCTCCGAGAGCACCCCAAGAGACACAGACAGCCCAGCTCCAAGAACACCAGAGAGACAGACAGCCCAGCTCCAAGAACACCCCGAGAGACACAGACAGCCCAGCTCTGGGGAGAACGGAGGGAGGCCAGAGCTGGGAGCCCCCCGAGAGACACAGACAGCCCAGCTCCGAGAGCACCC